TACCCATCATCATATTGAATTAGACCTTCTTAATCCACTCAATCTCGTCTCCCATGTGTCTGTTCGCCCGTAGGTCGCCAGAACGCGCATGCGCCTCGAATCTCTCAGCCCGTGCAGCTCGTCCACACAAACGGCCGAGCTTTCCACTGGCTTCCGATGAGGTCACTTCTTGGTAGGTGCATGTTTTCAGATACTTCCCAACCCACAGGCCGCCAGTGTATCGAGCGGTTGTCCGAGTCGGCAGAACATGGTTCGTGCCGATCACCTAACATCATGTGTAAGTGTCCCGTCAGGATTTCATGCCTTCATCGTCCAGCTTTGCGAGTACTTACCTTGTCGCCATATGACACGCATGTGTTCTCTCCAAGGAACAAGGCCCCGTAATTGGACATTTTCTCCAACGCATCCCTGGGATTCTTCGTAAACACCTGCACATGTTCGCTTGCGTAGTGGTCACCCAGCTCCCAGAGCTCCTCCATAGTATCCACAACAATAACCTCTCCAAACGCATCCCACGAAACCTTCGCCACATCTGCGGTCGAGAGGTCCGACGCAGAAAGCAGCTTGTTGACGATCTCAATCGTCTCTCGCCCAACCTTAGGACACGTCGTGATCAAGACAGCGGGTGTATCCGGCCCATGCTCAGCCTGCGAGATCAAGTCCGTGGCCACCGTGAACGGATCAGCCGTCTCGTCCGACAGGATGAGGATCTCGGTGGGACCCGCGAAGAGATCAATACCGACTTCACCAAACAGCTGTCGCTTACCCTCCGCCACGAATCGGTTCCCGGGACCAGCCAGGAAATCAACCTTACGGATTGTCTCGGTACCCACGGCCATGGCAGCCACGGCTTGCACGCCGCCCAGGAGGAAGATCTCGTCTGCTCCCGCCAGGTGCATAGCTGCAATCGTGCTATGCGGAATCTCGCCGTTGATAGGGGGTGTGCAGCCGATGACATGCTTAACGCCGGCGACTTTCGCTGTGAGGATTGTCATGTGTGCCGATGCGAGGAGTGGGTAGCGGCCGCCTGGGATGTATCTATACTCGCGTGATAACGTTAGACATGTATCATGAGAATCACTATGTAGTCACGGGATATCTGAAGGGAAACATGATAATAACATACGCGCCGACGGTATTAATCGGCACATTCTTTTGCCCGAGGTGCACTCCCGGCTGAATTTCAATTTCGAAATCTTTCAACGAGCCCTTTTGTGCCTCTGCGAAGGCCCGCACGTTTCGCTGGACCTCTTTGATATCGGCGATGGTTTGCTCAGGACACATGGCTATCGCAGCCTCAATGTCTGCTTCGGATAGCTTGAAGCTGTCTGGCGCCCATTTGTCGAATTTCGCGGAGTATTTTCTAACAGCAGCGTCGCCATCTGCGCGCACTGCGCTGATCACCTCTTCGACGACGGCGGATACGTCGACTGAGGGTGATTGCGTATGGTCTGAGGGAGCGGCGCGGGATTTGAGATACTGTCGAGCCATGCTTGTTACTTCTAAATACGGTTCAGGAGTGACAGGTTTTAATTGTAGTATACAGAATGATACCTACCTTTGCTCATGTTGCTGTGCTCATGGGATTTATATGCATACTAGGACCAGAACGATATATCGCACTTCGTTGCGAGAAGATCTTCATATCGTATCGCTGCGAAGGCCGAGAGTACCCGAGTCGAAGCTACAGATCGGACAAGTGGGCCGAGTGAGGTAGTATTCGGCTCGATTCCCATTCTTAGGATCTGTAGTATGACCGCAATTGTGGGGCAGCGTTCCCCAATACATGGTCCTTAGGGCGTCTGTATGTTCGGCGAGTAGGCCGATATCTGCGGCTCTCTCTTGTTCGGCCGTCTGGCCGCTATCGGCAGATACGAGTCTGTAAGTATCTCTTACGCCCTAGCCAGGATATTCCACGGTTCCAATATGCATGCCACATCTTGACATTGTTGTGGAATAATAGCCCCAGCCTCTAGCCTCAACCAAGAGTGTGTGCTGCCTAGTATCGTAGCCTTATCTGATGCTACTGATGAGTAGTAAAAGTCCCAGACGAGTATTCGAAAGCTATCCATAATCCATACGAAGCAGATCTAAATGCACCATAGTATCTAAGCGTACACCGCAGAGCAGACATGTCCAACACCAGGTGATTTCCACCAACAACCTTCACATCACACCCGCTCTCAGCGGATGAAGTACATCAATGCTTATCCCCAATCTCACTGGTCCACTCGGCATGCTCCACCGCTCCAACCGACAAAGCCCTCTTCTCCACAGCAGCAGCAGCCCTCTCAATCTCCTCCTCCTCCCGCTGAATGTACTTCTGCGGCCGCCGTCGACGGATGGCATCGGGATCTTTGGTAACTATCAGCGGGGGGTTGGACCGATAATACTCATCCATATCCTCGAGGCTTCGGTTCGCTGCACACACCATTAGTAACTACATCTTCACTGCTAGGGACAGACTACACAAACCTGTTTCAGGGTAAAGGAAGTAGAGAATCGGTAAGAAGGCAGCATTAGTGACTGTCCATACGATCCAGAATTTCCAGTCTATGTTCTTGATACCGATGGGTGTTATCTCGACCACGACAAAGTTTGTGATCCTGTTCAGTTGTCAGTGAGAGATATAGCAGGGTAGAAGGGGTGCGAAACAAACCAATCAGTAGCTGTCGCGACAGCCGCTCCCTTCGTTCTCATGGGAAGAGAGTTGATCTCCGTGGGATACAGCCACGGCACGCCGAGCATACCGATGCCGAATGCGCCGTAGTAGAGGAAGAAGAATGCAACCGATGCTGAGGCATACTTGTCGCCGTTGTCGCTTATACGTGAGAACCGCAGTAGGATGGTAATAACCAGGAAGCAGAAGAATTGTCCAAACGTGGAGAGGAGCATCAGACCTCGGCGACCCATTCTCTCGACGAGAAGGACGGCTAACCCGGAGAACACAAGATACGATAGCGCGTTGCATGCTGCTAGCAGACGGGCCATTGTATCAGAAAGTCCAACCGACTAGATAAGATTATGCGTCAGCTCTTTCGACAGATACCATTAGATCATGTGACCGCTACCTACATCCATAAGGACCGTTGGCAGATAATATGACATGATATTGATCCCGCCGAACTGCTGCATGAATTGACTGCCTGCGCCGAGGAGAAGTCTGCGGAGCGTCTTGCTGTCATTCCCCTTTTTCTTCCAGAGGTCTCGCCACCGCGTTGAATTCTCGCGTTCATACCGGACGCTGTATTCAATTTCATTGCGCTGCGCAATCACGAAGGGGTCGTCGATGGGCTTTGCCTCGAGACAGCTGAGCACCACTGTGGCCTCCTCTTGCCTCCCGTGGGCTATGAGCCATCTGTATGTCATTAGCACGTTTGGGAATAAGATGTAGAATTGGAACAGCCTACCGCGGCGATTCAGGAAGCCACGGAGTGGTGGACCATAGAATAATCAAGAAGAAGAATTGGAATGCCAGGGGGAACCGCCAGGCGATGGAGCCACCGACGAAGGACAATCCATAATTGATCCAGTTGACGAGGCAGAAGCCGAAGATATTCATCATCATCTCGAAAATGACCAATTTACCACGCCACTTCAGCTGCGATGTCTCAGTCTGCCAGATAGGTGCAGTGGCGGTATTGATACCATTGCCGATCCTACCGTCAGTCGAGGCATTAACGCGACGGAGCTAAAACAAGTTGCTAGAATCAATAATGCGATATACTCACCCCAGGACAATACGTCCGACAAACATTTGGGCCAAGCCGAAAGAGGCAGCCTGCAGCACAGCCCCTACAGCCATAATCGTAGTTCCTAGCAGGATCGCCTTTTTCCGTCCTAGTTGCTCTCCGATTGTGAAGGCAACGATTGCACCGAAGAAACAGCCCACATCGTATATAGCTGTGACCGTGGAGAGCGACGTGGTTTTCTCCGGGCCTACAAGGTCATGGACTTCGAGAAAGTCTCGTGTGATAACCACACCACCTATGGCGTGTTAGAGGGAGTACACAACTTGTTCATTGGGTTATATTCTCACTAAAGACTCCCTGGTCGTAACCGAACAAGGACATGTCAGTTGCGCAAGCAACCTAAGGAATTGTCAGCCCAACGAAGGCAGAAAGTTGTAAAACTTGCCATACCGTAACCCAGAATGTAAGCCATCCTCCTGTCAAGCCAAAATAGGGCTTTTTGGTTTCGTTTGACACTGTCATGCTGGACATAAAACCTTCAGCGCCTCAATTGTGATCGATCAGCCGCTGGGTCTTAGAGAGTTCAAGCCACGTGAAGCCGCGCATTTTCCTGGCTCCATCACATCTTATATACGGTGGGATTGTCATCCCAGTTCCCACTTCGAACGGAATAGAAGATCCACTCAATGACTCGAATAGTCCATACGCCGTTTGCGGGCGTGGGGGAAGTGTGGAGAGAATCCGGGGTAAGAGGGGTTTCATAAACAAGCCGGAGTTGGAAATTAGGGTCAGGGTTCGGAAGAAGTCCGCGATGCAGGAATGAACGACGGACGGAAATCAAAGCGACCTTCCCTCTCGGCTGGATTACCCTCCGAGTGTCTCTCCCTGTGGAGCACGGATCCTAGTGATTGCCAATAGTATTTCTCGTTTTCATAGTAGCAATGTCGGTTGCTATACCCTGGATATTCCAGGTAAGTCGAGATACACGGCGTTAAGGCTTCGGACAGCAGATCCCAGTTCAGTCGGATCAGCTACCAATGTATGTCTGCTGACCATGCAGAGTCAGAAATCTTGGATCGCCTAATGGTCGATTTTGATATGCCATGCAATGCAAGGGTACCCGTGATGTGTTGTTCAGCACGCCATGGGGTTTACTCTGGAAATCAATTTACCGAGAGCCACGTCTAGACCTTCAAGGCCTGCTGTAAAAGTGGACATAAATAAGAAACAAGCCCCGGAAGAGCAGCACGATTTCACTCATACTCAACAAGGTAGTCATTCTACACTTAAGTACAAAATTGCTATACAATGACCGCCGAATCGTCCAACTCCGACCGCACGCTCCCTTCCCGTGCAGCGCCGTCGAAAAGCGCTGCGGTAGCCAACAATGAAGGGTCCAAGCTGACGGCGCTCGAGAAAGCCGAACTAGCGCTCGCCGACAAATACAGCTCGCCAGATGTTTACATCAACGGGGAAACGGATACCTGCTGGCATCCGTGGCTTAACAATCTCGAGCTGAAGCCGTTGCGCTTCGAGACCCGCACAGGCACATTTGTCGTCGTCTTGCGCAGCTTGGAAGACACATGGTTGGGCAAACACCGGCACCGCGGCTCTGTCACCGCAGTTACCATGAAGGGGGAATGGAACTACAAAGAGTGAGTAACTGTCTCTGTTAGACGGCGCCAGGAAAGATCTGTGCTAACTGGCATAGGTATGACTGGGTCGCGAAGCCAGGGGACTACGTGGTGGAAAACCCAGGAACAATCCATACGCTCCACATGTCCAAAGGCGCGGAGGTGGTTTTCACTATCACGGGCAGTTTAGAATTCTTTCATGATGATGATACCCTGAAGAGCACGATGGATATCTTCAGCTACGCTCATCTATACTATGAACATTGTCAAAAGCAAGGGATTCAGCCAAATGACAGGCTTTGGTACTAGTGCATGGCGAATAGAGTGCAAATTATTAGTAATAACAAACGCGTTTAATTTACTTGCAATTGTCTATCTCCAAATAGCCACCTGTCTCAGCGTAGAGTAGGATAGCTAATGTTACTTCTGGTGAGGGCTGTCATTCCTTGAGCTGGAAATTATATATCAGTGATCCCCCGCCAGTCTTCGCCAAGCCCTAACGCGTAGACACTCAGCTTCACACAAGCACCATCATAATAAATTCAGAAGAAAAATTAATAGTGACAGATAGAAAATAACAGGTTCAGGCAATAAAGCAAACAAAGAGATTACCCCGCTCGCAGCACAAATGTCAAGTCATGTACGAGCATTGGCCCAAACACGAATACCAGGTCCCACCTCGGCATGATTGCCGATCCTGAAATACAATCCGTATCCGCACAGAACTCTTCCCCCCAACGACGCTTTGCGCTCGCCTGGCCATTCTGGCCATCATAGCGATAATGCGTACATGGACTGGTAAGTACCTGAGACTATTACATCAGTTATCCACCTCTGACATCACTGTGATCTAGGGTGGTGAGTCAACAGGATGTGAGAGTAGCTCGACTGGGCTAAAGTATTGCCAGTTTAACATGTCGGGCGCGCAAGGTCAAATGTGACGAGAGAAAACCACTTTGTCGAAATTGTGAGAAATCTCGGGTTGAGTGTGTCCCCAGCGATTTGGTTTCCTTCAGGCACTGGCGACATCCGTCACCTAACAAGAATGGATACTTCGGTCTTTGGGAGCGGAGTCAGACCTGGGTGGAGGTCAGGATCTCTGCATTGGAGGTAGCAAGCTGTATGAGTCCTATGATGTGATTATGTGCATCTGGCAAATGCTGATATTATTGAACGGGATGTAGATGAGTTTGTGGATGAGACCAATGCGATAGCAGATGAGTACGAGATTATCTGTGACGAAGCCGTCGCACGAAGCCCTGTCAACCATAGCAAAGCATGTCGCACGGTAGTCCGCGATACAACAGACTCTGATGCACATATCGCTATTTCTGAACCACACCAGGCACGTATAACAACAGTACCATCGAGTCCAACTCACTGGAATGACACTAGAGGATATGTCATAGAACGTTCAACGCCGGCAGAGGCCGGCCATGCATCTTGGCATAATGGGACCTCGGTTGTACAGTCTCGAGGAGAGTCCGATAGGATGAACCATGGGGAGGCGGTTCGAGGTACTACTAGTAGCAGATCCAGCAACTCGTCCGATGACACAGGAGGAACAGTGAATAAAGGAGCACAGGCTCTGTTGTCCATGAGTCATGCTTCAGACCCTCGGTTGGCCTACACTTCGACTAGCATCTCACCACCGGAGAGCTTACAGACCTATTGCAGCCAGGATAGTCCCTTCACGTCTGTTGTCCACCCATCGAACCCAGGGGGGCTAGCACAGGCGGCTCCTCTAAGCTCACAGGAAGAAGGATGGTTGCTGCGTCAATTCAGCGCCGAAGTAGGTACTTGGATGGACCTCTCAGACCTATCAGAAACCTTCTCAAAAAAGGTTTGTCGCTTGGCAACGCAGGACACATTGCTTAAAGCAGCGAGTATTGCATGTGCTGCGAAGCAACAGTTCTTGATCGGAAAATTACCAGAAGGCATGCACATCGCACGACGAAATTACAATACAGCAATTTCTCTTCTGATAGATAGGCTGGGCAATAACGATGAACCATTGGCCAGCTATGGCTTTGCAGCCACTGTCATTTGCTCATGTTATGAAATGTTAGACGCACCGGCCTCAGACTGGCAAAGGCATCTCGACGGGGTGTTCTCTTTCAGCAAATTGCGCAGAGTGAACGGATCTTCTGGTGGAATCGAGCAGGCTGGGTTTTGGTCAACAGCGCGACAGGATGTAGTCTGCTCCATCATGCACAGATCAAAGCTGAGGCTGGACCCCGATTTGTGGGCAATTGACCTGGAACATATAGGCCAGGAAGGGAGTGAGGACTTGGTTAACAACCAGTGAGTTGGTCTATGTGTCCTTACTTGGATCGGCATGCTTGATACTGATGTATAAAGGATCCTCACGATTCTCGCGAAAGTGGTAAATTTAATAGCGTGCTCAGACAACACCTCGGCAAGTAAAGGGCTCGATGAATGGTGCAAGCTGCGTAACCTTCTAGACCACTGGAACCGCTCTGTGAAGGGCCAAAGCTTCATGGACCCAGTCTCAGTATACGAGGAGGACGGCAAGCCGTTCACAACGATATGGTTTGCGAGGAGCGTTTGCGGTAATGTTATCTTATAATCAATAACATGCACTTGTTGACGATGTGCAGCTTCCTCGTGGCAGATGTTCCATCTTGCTCAAATTCTGCTCCTCACCTCCTGCCCTACGCAGGACCGGAGTTGTATGATTGCCTTTAGGACAATAGAGGTTAGCATGTACAGTGATCACACCCTCGCAAACGGTGCTAAGCGATCGTCAGGGACAACTACTATACCATGCGAGACAGATATGTGGCATAGCCCAAAGCAAGCCAGACGGAAGCTGTCGGGTAAACTCCGTTCAGCCCATTTACTATGGTATGCGACATTGGCTGGTCTGCGTCTGTTAGGGGCTCGACTGATGTATTTCAACTATAGCTGGATGCTGTTTTAGCGACAACGAAGAAAGGAAGGCAGCCATTATGCTTCTTGAAGAAATTGAGGATAACCTGGGCTGGGCTGCCAAATACCGCGCCTGGGATCTACGAAGGCTGTGTACGGACATCTAGATATTTCCGAAACTGTATACGTGTCACCAGGAGTACGGCGGGGGCTGAGCACTTCATCCCTCGGTAAGAAGTATATAAAGACTATTACTTAACATTGTACTATAGAGGATAAGGTTGTCGCTGCTAAATAGATCGGGTGTCTCCAATCAGCGGTCAAGGTGCACTGGAAAGAGCAGTCCTCAGCTTCGATTGCCTACAGGATCTGAGATGGAGTTACAAAATTATCGCATACGGCTCAAATAATACGATTCTGCAGAAAGCGGGCAAGTGCAGTGGTATCCACCGGGACAAATTGAGTACAAACCTGGTCGCATATCATTCAGAAACAAATCTAGTCGGCACGCATGAGCCTCTCCAGTCGACACCGCACCGAATACTGGAACCACACAGGATACGCGCGAAGACGCTGCGCGAGAGTGCCAGAAGTGCCAGGTAAAAGGACATGCCCACTCTCACCCGTCAGAGCCTGATTAACGATACCCTCAGCGACTGTATCAGGGTGTAGGAGGGGGTTGATAAACGTATCTTCGGGGGTCAGTTTGTCAATCAAGGCGGTGCGCGTAAAGCCCTGGGTAACAAGCACAGTGCGGACGCGTGGAGCCTGGTAGCGCGTCACCAATTCAGCCGCCAGCCCTTCGTGGAAGGCGATGGCAGCGGCCTTGGAAGCCGAGTAGTCGACCATGTTGGGGGCGACGGCGTAGCCGGACTGGGAGGCGACAGTCACCACCATTCCGTGGTTGGCCGCGATCATGTCCGGCAGGAACTCTTGTGCCAACCAGTAGTGCGAGAGGGTGTTGACATCAAACAACCGTCGGGTCACGGCCTCGGTGGTGCCGAGGATGGTCTTGCCGGTGAGGATGCCCGCGTTGTTAATTAGTATGGTTGGTTTGCCGAACGAGGCACGAATCTTGCTGCCCACCTCCGAGATGTTTTCGGGAGATGTAATATCGCATTCGTAGTAGCGGACACTGCTTGGCAGTGAATCTGCTGGAGGCGCGATGTCCAGGATGGCGACTTTGATGCCGCGATCACCGAACAGCTGTGCGACTCGCCGTCCAATCCCGCCACTGCCACCCGTCAGGACCACCACTTCACGGTTCCAGTCATAGTGATCTTTCTGGCCATTATTGATAACACGACGGTCCAGCCACCCTCCGAGCCGACTCAAAACAGCGAATGAGACCAGTACTTTGAGCGCTTTGAGCACCTTCGGACGCGACTCAAGGATCTCACGGCCCTTGGTAGTATATTGTGCTAATACTAGCAGGGGAACCATCTTCCAGGGGCTCAGCAACGTCCGGTGGAGTAAGTAGCTGACCGCATCGGCTGTGAATCCTGGTTTCTGTTAGCGCAGCCGAAGAACAAGAGAGCGAGCGGTGGTCAGCGCACCTTCGCGCGAGCGCCATCTCTTTGCCGGCGGTGCCATTTTGCAGGGGATATACCAGCGCGCTCAATATCTATCGCGACTCATGGAGCAGTATGGATCAGATCAAGAAGCAACAGGGAGTGATGAGGACCACATCAGGCGAACCTGATAGATGATCGGCGGCCCTAAGATGGAGAATGCGGGGCTGCCGAGGTCCGCGCGCATAAAATGCATTTTCTCCTGCATTAAAATGCACACTGGCAATATAACTGAAGGGAGCATGTGCATTCAAGACGGATAAGCAAGCTAGAAGTGGTACCGCAATCTATCTATTTATAGCGAGGTAATGATATGGCTCCAACAATTAAACCAATTCACTGCTGTCTCTAACAGACGTCTCACTTGGGAAATGACGGCTTGGCGCCCAGCGCCTATTGCCGTTATTATATTCCAGGATAAATCGCCTATAGTTCATTTATTACATATCGAGATATGAAAAGATGTTTCCTCGGGCATGCTAAGTAGTGCTACCTTGATAATTCATAGTACCTCGCCCATAGTTGTACAGTTCAAAAATCTCCCAAGGGTACATGAAAGCAACATGCACGTCAGCCACCAATTTCCTGAGGAGTCCTTTCCTACAATCTTGGCTAAATTGCGTAATGCAATACCATTCGTCAGAGAGACGGGATTAGCATACAACACCAGTCGCTTAGTGGTGGAAGTAATCATTTTCATGTTTTGCATTCCATTGGAAGGAAAGTTATGGATCCACAAAACATGAACTACGCTGAAAAGTCAGAAAATAAATATGAAAGACGAAGTAAAGGAGACGTAAGATGGAGCTAGAGCTACCAAGACGTATATCGTAGACCAGGTATAGTGCCAGTATGTGCCTTGGTAACGAACACTCCTTTGCTCCTCTTTCACGCCACTGCCCCAATAGCCACTATCCCCGTACATTAACTACACGACATGAAACAGTGCGTTTGGCCCTGGGTACCCAGCTCATCCAACGCAGGATCCGGTCTGCGCAGCCAATTTGCCAACATGTTCGTACAATGATCGGTATGCTTCAGATCAGACAGCATCGTGTCAAGGCGATCCCCACGCATATGAACGTCATGGGCCCGTCGCAGAAGATAGAGGCAATGGACCAAGTGCTCACGGTTCGAAGTCCAATAGAAACCATTGACGTTGCGACCGACTTCCTCGTAGTCCTTCATCTGACGGGTCATTTCCTTATCGTAGTAATATATAAAAGGCTTGCCATCATTAAACTCCGTAAACTCCTTCACATAGTCGTGCGGACACTCCCGGTGAAGCCAGCACGCTGAAAGCGGATCATACGTGCAACCGAGCGCTTCAGCTTCGTCGGTGGAATTGCCGCAGGAGAGTCTGGTCCGAGGAGCCGTGGGCAAACACTGTCGCTGTCCACCCTGGTCGGAGCCTGAGTAGACCGCCGAGTGTTCCAGGATCAGGGCCTGTCGGACTGGCTGGAGAGTGATTGCTGCAATCAATGCAATTATCAGGAGCAGCAAGATCAGGAGGAGCCCAGTGATGGTGATCGTGGCCAGGTTGCGCTTCATGAACTGGTGTACGGAGCGGCGCCGTGGCCGCACTGTCAGCGTAGTATCACTGTCGCCGGAATCTCCCTCCTTGTCTGTCTTCGGGACAGGCTCATAGTTGCGTGGGAAAATCTTCTCCATTCCGGTATAGAAATGATCGATGGTAGTGAGAAAGGGTTACTCTCGTGGAACTCTGAGAATAGGAAAGTATTCACCTCCTTGCTATCTAAGATAAGAACAGGGAGTCTACTACAGATGGTTATGTTTTGCAACATGTTTATTGATTTACTTAGTGTGAAGCCCTAGCAAAGGGTCCGCTTGAGCAGACCAGATTGAGATATCAATAAGGATCACGGGCACCAATCATACCGGCGAAGGAATAGATCCCGCTTCTGAATAATAGTATCAATGAAGTTGGCTCGTACATGGCCCCCAGATTGTTCTTGGGTCGAAACCAAGGAACAATGAAAATGCGGACGAACCGTGGGAACTGCATTCTCCCTGTCCAGTCAAGGGCCAACGCCAAGGGGATCAAGAATGTTACGGCGCCAAGACTGTTGAGTGGACCAGAACTAAACGCCCGGGAGCCGTCTTGAAGCTGTCTGTGCGTACCTATGCGTAGGTCCGGAACTAGATCTAACTAATGGACAAGATGATGCTGTTCATGGAGCCCATTATACTTTACAGCGCACTCTTAGCCTTTGAAGCTCCTCCCTTGATCATACTTACCTTTGCAGTTCAGCCAAGAATACTAGGAACAACCAGTCGATATTAATTATGTGCCATGGCCATTTGGATTCACTTTAAAGAACAGTGGTGACTGGGGTTTTTGACGAACATAGCATGACTCTGCCATCCCTCGGATCTATGCTGAATACCAGTATCTCTCAGTAGTAGCCAAAAATGCATCGTAAAAATACACTCACAGATACTCCAGACAAGTTGGGGCATAATAGCCAACTGACTGGGACCCGTATTTCCGCAGAGAACAGTTATCTGTGTGTTAACACACGCGACAAAATGTAGTAACGAAATAGCAACAATAAGGGCATTTCCCTTGCTCCTGGTAAGTATCAGTCACCTGATCATCACAGGACTGGGGCTTTCCCGCAGCCGCGCTTTACTTCGCTCACATCCCAGCCACATCTAAAGACTCGTATTAAGGGCGTGCTGGGGTCGCCCGGCACAGTTATATTTTATATAATAAGTCCAGGAATCAGTTGTCAATAGCCAATCTTACCTTCTGTCGCATGGTGGTGATGGGATGCATGGTCAGACTCGAGATTCCGTCTCTGCCATTGCCAAAATTATGCCTGTCACTTCAGCTCCAGTCAGCTGCGTTCGTCAACACTCCAGCTTTTTTTCTGGAGATCTCCTTTCCGTGCAGTTGCTTCCATCTCAGCTAGTGCCTCTAGGAACTTTGCTACATCCGATGGGGACTCCAATTCGCCTATTTTTCAATATAACCTGATCGAAGGGATTGAGAGACTTGAGAAATATCAGCCTGGTGGTTATCATCCAATATCAATAGGTGACGTGTTTCAGACGCGATATTGGGTAATTCACAAACTTGGCTACGGGACCTACTCAACTGCATGGCTCTGTCGTGATAAAAAGTCCGACACCTATGTGGCAGTTAAAGTCGGCACAGGCGACTCAAATGACCAAGAGGCAGCCATGCTTGACCTTGTTAACAACACTTCACCCCCGCTTTCAAAAAGTCCAGGCAGGGGAATGGTACCTTTGATCCAAGACCGATTTGTCCTTCACGGTCCTAATGGCAGACATCCTTGCTGCGTCACGACACCGGCAAGATGTAGCGTCTCAGGCGCAAAGGATGGGTCGTACACACGCCTGTTTCAGGCTGATACCGCTCGCTCGCTTATCGCACAGCTCGTGCTAGCTGTTGGATACACCCATTCAACGGGGGTTGTTCATGGAGGTTGGTGAACACGTTTCAGTAAGCTAGTAATATTACGCTAATGCGAGATATTTCTTCCAACAAGACCTTCATCTTGGCAATGCTCTCCTGCGCCTTCCGGCCGATTTTGACAACCTCTCAATGGAAGGGCTGTATCGCAAATATGGTTCGCCTACTACAGAGCCTGTCGTTCGTCTTGACAATGGACCACTGCAGCCGAATGTTCCATCCACTGCCGTTCTCCCCATGTGGCTTGGGAAACCATCCGAAGAGTTTTTGGCCTCAGAAGCCCAGCTCCTACTAACCGATTTCGCGGAAGCATATTTTCCTTCAACAGAGAATCGGTATGAGTCCCGCACGCCCTTGGCATTCGCGCCACCCGAAGCTCGCTTTGAGCCAGAGCGAAGTCTGTCCTTCTCATCTGATATCTGGACACTTGCGTGTGCTATATGGTTAATTCTTGGACAACGCCCATTGTTTGAAGACATACTAGTCACACAAGATGATATCACAGCTGAGCAGGTTGATGTCCTTGGAAAGTTACCTTCGGAGTGGTGGGAGAAATGGAACGAAAGACACGAGTATTATAATGAAGAGGGTGAGCCAAATCAAGATCAAGATGTAAGATCCTGGGATGATCGATTTGAGACGCACATTCAGAATAGAACGGCCTAATGAAGCCGGGCGATGGCGACCAAATACATTTCGCACACGGTTGATTCCTATACGATCGGATGGATTGCAGCCTTGCCTATTGAGCGTGCTGCAGCGACAGCCCTTCTCGATGAGCGCCACGACAAGCTACTAGAGTTCTTGTCTCTAACAGCGTCATAGTGAAAGAAACCCTCGAAACCGTCCAATGCATAGCAATAGATACCAAAACAGGAGTTGATGAATTGAAATCAGAGAATCACACAGATAAGATCAGAAAGTGGCTGTTGCCTCCCGACCCGTCAACGAACTTGAATGAAGCCCTGAATAAGAAACACATCGGTACTGGGTCTTGGCTTTTGGAAAGCGAGCCATTTCAGAAGTGGAAAGGCAGCGACTATGACAGTCTCTGGCTACATGGCATTCCGGGTGCGGGGAAAACAGTTCTCAGTGCTTCAATCTTTGCCGCATTGAGCCAGGAGCCTGATCAATCTGAAAACATTCCTCTCCTGTACTTCTTTTTCGACTTCAGTGACAATAAAAAACAATCGCTCAGCGGGCTTGTTCGCTCGCTTGTGACACAGTTGGGCTCAAAGAGTGATACAGCGCGAGGGTGTCTTGACACCCTTTTTTTGTCTACTCAAGGCCGTGGACAGCCCACAGATGAGGTACTCTGTGCTACGTTTCAGCAAATGCCGGACACTGTGAAAGCTACGCGCATAATCATAGACGCATTGGATGAATGCACAACAAGTACCGATCCCCTTCAATGGATAGAAACCCCCATCCGCTCAGAAGGCACGGTGCCTCAACTCGTTGTTACAAGTCGCAAAGAAGTGGACATTGAGTCTAGTTTCGAACGGCTGCTACCTAACGACAGTATTTATCCTATTATACAGGGCCCTGTGGACGACGATATTCTTGCATATGTTCATGAGCGGCTGTTAAGTGACCGTGGATTTGAGAGACGGCGGTCAGATGCGTCAGTGCAAAATGAAATCGAGTCTGAACTTATGAAAAAGGCAGGAGGAATGTGAGTACACTCTGTGGCCCTTGGATAATTTGAGTGAACTGTTATTGACATTTGCTAGGTTTAGGTGGGTTGTATGCCAACTTGATATTTTGCAAAAGTGCTTGGACCTCAAAATGCTTCGACGGTCTCTCCCGAAGACTTTATCAAAGACATATGGCCAGATTTTGGCCGATATCGATGAAAGCTCCAGGGATTATGCCATACGACTTTTGCAGTTTTTGACTTACTCAGAGCGTCCCTTGCGCCTTGAGGAAGCTGTGGAAATTATGGCAATAGATCCCGCCGCACAGCCTCCTTTTGATGCTAAGCTAAGAATGCCAGAGCCTCGCGATATCATGAGAATATGCCCAAGTCTCGTTTCTCTCGTGATGGATCGTTGCGGCATGAAAGTCCATCTATCTCACTTCTCTGTTCAACAGTATCTGAAATCCAACCTGATCAATGCAAGTTTCCCAGAACACATGGCTGATGTCGGAATGCTGTTCCAAACAAGCTTGAGTGAAAGCAGCGCACGAGCCTCGATAGCCACAGTTTGCCTATCATACTTGTCTCATTTCAACGACGAAGGCGCTATCACGCATGGCATGGGATTCTTTTCTCTATATCCATATTCTACGCACTATTGGATGGAACATGCAAGGGCGGCAGAGAGTAACAAGGAACTGATTGATACGATTTTGAAGTTCTTCCTTCAAGAAAGGGGAGCATGCAGCATCTGGGCCCTTTGGTTTGAAGAATATATGTTTAAAAGAATGGTCCGGCGCCGATCTCTCCCATGGCGTCGAACAGACGAGGCCCCACCCATATATTATGCATCTTGCGCAAGCCTCCGTCATATTGCCGAGATCCTCATAGATCGCGGGGCCGACGTGAATGTCCTGGGCGGAGAATACGGATATCCACTTGTAGTCGCGTCCTCTGAAGGTCAAAGAGATATGGTAGCGTTGCTTTTAAAACAACGGTGCTCGTATTGACGTTTGTGTAAAGAACCATGGCAGATTTGATCACGGTACGCCACTGCTCGCTGCATGTTTCGATGGTCACAAGGAGGTCGTGCAGCTTTTGCTAGCCAATGGCGCCAATGTCAACGCACCAAACAGTCGATGTGGAACGCCACTCATGGATGCTTCGGTCAATGGTCATCTAGAAGTTGTCAACCAACTGCTAGAGCGAGGCGCCGATGTTAATGCAACAATATATTCAAAGCCCAAACCATTCCGGAATGCCTTGGGAGCTGCCTGCTGGGAAGGTCACCAAGCAATTGTGCATCAATTATTGGCGAAAGAGGCTATGATTAATAGAGACGGTGGGAGCTGGGGCAATCCGCTCACGGCAGCTTGTGCCCAAAGCCATACTGAGATTGCAGCATTGCTTTTAGAAAGGGGTATTAACATTAACGAGCGTTGTCGATCTCGTTGAACTGCACTTCAGCCAGCCTCTCGTTGGGGTCGAATGGAAACGATGCGACTGCTCCTTGAAAACGGGGCTGATGTCAGGCTACAAGCAAGTGCACGGTTCGGACCCGAGAGTCACCTCCTAACCACTTGCGAACGCGGCTATCGAGAAGCCGCAAAGCTTCTCATAGAAAATAGTGCCTGTTTTAGTCATGACATGGACTTGCTCCATACTGCTCTCCAGGATATGTCGGGGAATGAATACAAGGAAGCCGTACGATTGCTGCTAGGGGATGAAGCAGCAGCGCGATGTGATCTAGAATAGAAATGGCAATGTCGGGTATTATGCTTTGTCTTGTTGGTATCGAATATATTTGGCGACTGGAGAGCGCCGCGTTTTATCGCACGGAGCCTATGGCAACTTGGTGTAGCTCACTACATGGTCTCTCGAGACGCACACAACTATTGATGAGGGAATTACACTTTTCTGTCGAGTTATAGTACCATGAATGCATATGGTTCAGACTATGGAGTCTTCAAGTACTACGACATCTATGGAAGCGCAACAGATGCGAGGAGACCAATCTAGTCCTCATAATACACGGGCATTTCGGATTATCAGCTACTCAATCACTGCCGACATGGTTGAGTATGTTTCCAATACACGATCGTCACCCACATCTCCCGCGCAACGGCAACAGCCTCAATCAGCGAATGGACCAGCCATCTAGCTTTGGGGCCCCAAATTCTGCGCCGCACGATGTAGCAGGATGGGTGAAGGCCCAGGCATTGCACACCGACCACATTGCGGTATGTCACAGACCCATCGCAGGCCATTTTCCCACAAGCTTTCCACAAAAGTGTTGATATTCACGACGTGACAAAAGTTCCGATGGCCATGTGGGACAGCCTTTGATACTACCAGACTACTGAAAACGTTAACTTTGTCTTGGGCTCTTGGTTCCTTTCCCACAACTCTTAACATGACAGGGCCGGTTCCCGTGCGTGATATTTAGGTTGTACAGTGCGTCGGGCACTTTAGATTAACGGAGACCCTCACCCGTCCAGGGGCCCCACGCACACGACAAAGAGTTTCAACTATAGCCAATGCACCTGCGAGATGTAGCACTTGTGGACCCCGTCAAAGCGATATTGGTACATGGTATCACCGACGGCCTGCAGGCCTTAGGATCGAAACGGAATGTGAGCTGAGCACGTCCCGCTAGAAAGAAAGAAACATATTACGATAACTCAATATACGGAGTACGGAGTACATGGTATACCTTGAATACAGCTTTGGTGCCCCGCCGGGCGCACTTGCCCTCCGGAAAATGGAGGCGTTGGGTAATCCATTCAAATAGCCGCGCAAAACAAATTAGGTATAAAATAATGGCTCACCTTGGTATCAGTCACTGTTTGGCACGATCTCTCACATATGTTAGGTCTATTATCTCAAGAAAAACAATCTACCACATCCATGGCGCGAGACAGCACGCTCAGCATGGCACTTTCTTTTACTTTCTTTGCAATATGCCTTTTTCAAGTCCAGGCTACGGGTGTTGAGCCCGGTCCTTCCAAGCCAGCGTTCCTAAGTGTAGGCCCTGAAAGTTGGTTGACCTCTCCGCGCAGAAAGCTATTCTCAAGAGACCACTCAACTAACTGTCCAGCTTATAGAATTACGAGAGGTGCATAGCAAGCTTAAGCTAGGCGCAACGCTTGACGGGCCGAAGTTCCCTGAGGTTGAATTCAATGACGATATATATTGGGACGGGAAGTTTGGCAGCACCTCTTCCTTCAGGAAAGAGTACCCTTTTGATATTTGGGAGGATGGTGTGGATGATTCAGAGAACGAATACAACAATGTGCATCCGAATCTCCATGCCTCTCGCCTTCCCGGTATTGGAAGCAGCAAGGATATCTACCCGTATATTGCTAGCATTGTAAGTCACTGCTGATTTTGCCAATATTCCCTAGCTGACAATCATAAAGTCGCCAGCAAAGTATGGCCGCAGTCAGAAGTTTATGTACTGGGATATGGTATGGAACCAGGCTGAAAAAGAGACAAACGGCGATATCATCCTGGTAGACTTGGCGCAATATGTCCAGGGCTTAGCGGCCGAGGAGCAAGAGGATCTTATTCCGTCTGTCACCACGAAGAGCCTAAGCTTTACACCACCAGAAAAGAAAGAAACAAAGCAGATTATTCCACCGTACCGGGGAATATATTCTGTGCATTATAAAGGCAGCAACGCCAAATGGGCTCATAGCGATATTGAGTATCGTCAGATAAGCCTGGAATACCATGACGACTCTAAAAAGCCGGCTGGAACTGGTCCACACAATCTGCATTACTTTCGCATTAGCTCTTGGAAGGACCGACAAGCAATTGATCCAGAGAAGCTGCAATTCCTCATCGACGAGGTCGATAAGAAATTCAAAGGCCAAACGATCATCGTGAACTGTTTATTGGGATTTGGGCGTACAGGTTCCTTTATTGAAGCAAGGGAGATGTATCGGGAGACAGTGAAGGCGAAAAGTACTAAATGGTTCTTCTCGTCCTCGGGTGACCCGATTGAGGAATATACCGCCACGCTGCGCAAGAGACGAGCTTTGATGATCGACAGTGCCAGGCAATATGAGTTCTTACATGCCTGGGCAGCAAGGATGTGGACCATGACAACTGAAGGTAATACAAAGACCGCAGCCAGCTCTGCGGGTAATCCGCCCAGCCAGGGTCGTCGGCCGCCAACATCATGACAACCTGCGAGGTTTCGTTGCCTCTACTGTGAACTTCAGCCATAAATGGGGTGGCGCCTGAGATTGAGAGAATTCTTTGTATGTAGGGATACATGCAACTATGGAGTACTATCCATACCAACGCCGCAGATCACGCTCTATCAGTGCATAACCATGGCAGTCATCTGTTGGCTTGCAAGATCCAACAGCCGCTGTACCACCAATCCATCTTTCTCGTGTATGCTCTACCATCCAAGAAGGACGCATTCTGGCGGGTCAGATTATCGGATGTGAACAGAGTGCCTTTCTCAAATTGTGAGCGGACGTAGGAATCGGAAGTAATCATCTCGTAGCTTTGGAAACACGTTGTGCCTGGTAAATGTCTGGTCCATCGAACATCTGTCGGAACAACCCCCGGTCCTAAGTCAAGCCACTTGGTTATAACAAGGGCGATGCCTTCTGCCCCAAAGCTAATAGCATCAAGTTGGTAGTCTAATCCGCAAGCCATACAGCGATAAGTGTGTAGGCGCGGTCGCCGTCCACTTCTAGAGTCGATATTGGTATTGCAAGCGGCACGGAGAACATTTAAAATATAAGGATCCTGCAAGCGGATGTGAGCACAAATCCGTGCGTGTGCGACAGCTTTGGAAGGAAATTCTGTGGTCAATATCCAAGTTTGTATACGAAGACAGACGCTCGACTCTTGAACAATCTGTGTGTCGACTGATAGTAAGGTGGTCAAAGATTTTTTGTAATAGTCTAATCTCAAGATAAGCAGGGCTGCAACGAGATCTCATTATTGGTAGCTATAGATATATGCGTTGAAATCGATACCGTGAGCTCCACTCTACACTAAACGGATACAACCACATGCGGAAAAGACCTGTGTGCTTGACGTGACATCTTCGAGGCCACAACATTGAACCTGGAGGTTCAATATAGCTCTGGCGATGGAAGCCCGAGCACGCATTGCAGTGAATATAATCTGCTAGATCTCGGGTCAGTCTTTTGCGGAAAGCAGATCGGAGTTCGGTCTCCAATGAACTCTGAACACCGCTTTCTAGGACATTTAGTAGTTGATGATTACACAGGGCCAGGCACGCTTGGTCGCACGGCGTAAGATAGTCAGAAATCATGTAAACAAGCTCCGTTGGTAGGTGATCAAGGTTTGACCCTTGTAGCTCACTGTCTCGATCTGCATACGCCGGGGATGCCAGTAGCATGACAACCAAATAAGACCTCTGCCGATACCCATCTTGTTGGACTTCCTGTAGCTGGAAGATGAGAAAGTGTGAAGTAACCGGAGAAGATCTCAACCACGAGTGCAAGTCAACTACACGTGTCACCGACATTCAGCTACCGTGGTAGAGTTTGGACGACTATCATGCATTACGATGACTCATGTCAGAAAGGCTAAGGGTACAAAGAGGCGCCTCAGGCCCCATAATCCATTGATACAGAGGTTAAATATAATGAGTCTCAAATACAGCGCTGACATTTTGAGGAATTCGAGGTGGTGACCTGACCGTCACTCTGCCTAATCCCTAGAACCACATCTCCATTGCAAAACTCTTGCATTGGCAAGGGGAACTCCAGACATCTGGGATTTGCTCCCCTGAAACAATTAAATCCGTGGCCAAGCCCGTCGTTACTGCATAAGTCAAAGTTTACGTTGCCCAACACTTCCCGTTTGCCCCATTGTATCATAGCACATCCATCTGTCTATGTAACACATCATTTTTAGGCTTCTGTCCAGCGCCCTGATGAACTTGGCAGGGGAAAGAATCCTAAATATTGTCGCTCATTAAGTAAAGTCCAAGCGCTCAGGGGGGCTAACGGTTTACGTTACGATGAGTAGCCAGACCTCTCTCTATATGCCAGCACATATATACTGCAACTGGAGCCCTCGTGGGATCGAGTCGAAACCGTCCATACTGTTCACCTGCTCCTCACCTCCAACTCTTTCCGTTTTCTGTTCGAACCCAGGAAGCATGTACTGGACTTTATTGATTATACTCCCATATCTATCAGCTCTCGCAGCGGGTGGGATACCCACGTATGGTTCACAACCCAAGTCCGAGGGAATTGCTGTACCTCCTTCAAACATCGATCCGAAGGCCGAGACGTCCAACCTCCATCGTCATTGTGGGGGTTTCATCTTCCTGCATCCTCCTGATTATCAACCACATCTTCTCTACCCAGGTCCACAGACCAATTTACAACCAAGTTCACCACAGCGACACCGGCCAGTATCACCGGGTCCAGGGCGTCCTATACGCCGCGCAGCTGCACCACCTCCGGTATACATAGCGGCAAGGTGTAAAAAGCCAAACGGCAGAGAGAGTCTCGCAGGAATCAACCTGAATAAATGCCTTGGCTGGGATGATCATCGGAAAGCTTTCACCGCAGAATACATGTATGTATCTCCATTGGAGCAATGGTGACCACGGCCATTGCGTTCGACTGTCAGTTTACACCTAATTGCTTACGATACCAGCGCATATGGAATTGCTAAAGGGAATTGCTGGGACTGCGGGTACAAGAAGTACCGGAAGCCCGCTTCTAAGTTTATACTGGCTTGCAAGTGTAGCACGAATGCACAGGATCGAACACGGTGGGAGGTCAAGGAGTTTACCCACCGTGAGTATCTGGCTTGCATCGAGCCACAATTCGCTAATAGGCTTTGTAGCTGGCGTTTTAGTATTCAATGAGAAGACAGGTCAGATGGGTTGTCATGGATATTTTGCAGATCTCAACGTACCCGACATCCGCTAGTTTGCTCCCCATACGTTTATCAGGAGCGAAAGTATGATTAGTGGCATCATATCTGAAACTAACAAGAGCTGAAAGCTATGGTTGTCCTAGACTGTTCGGGGATTTGGAAACTGTTAGTGTACCAGCGCGATGGGGTGCGTACGAAGGATGGGACATCTAAATAGACCTGCTGTTATCCTTTCCAAACCAGGCTTTTGTCACTTCTAAATATGTATAATGTGTTTGCAGGATGAACGCTGCCAGTGACATAGATGTTTCATTTATTATGGGCATCGTAGTGTCCCTTTCCCTCAATTTACCTCGGTTGATCTAAAATGCGATGGATCGATAACTCACTGATTCTATGCCATCCTGGGTATTGCCTGTTTACTACACATATACTTGACGCATACTCCAGCTCAATGCAGACCACAGCAAAACCACGCATATGCCACTAAATATTCATCTAGATGTTACAGGGTGGCACGGGAACACCTGATCCAGAGTTCACGGATTCTCAATGCTCGGTGGAACGGATTGGCATACTTGCCACATCACCCTCCATATTAACATCTCCCTAGTCTAGAAGAGACGGCGTATTCTTCTAGAATCATCTTCAACCTCTGTATAGACCAATCAACCTATCCAGGAGGTGAGCACAATAATGTATAATTACTAGGCAGGCATCTTCCGAGCCAGTTAAACAGAAGGGCAAAAGTGTCCAATTCGACAGCAAGGAAGACAATCAAAGGTATGAAGAGCCGTTTCTGAGATGCATCTTTTGCATTCATTATTAGGCTGCCAGATAATTGCTCGATATAAATTCCCAGGAAGCTGACTGCAAGAATCAATCCTCACCCTAGTCTACTCACTCCTGATTCCCGACACAGAGCTTTAGGGCTCGGAATGATATCCAGAGGAGGGCTATATCTAGGTCAGTTTAATATCATAAATAAGTAGTACTTGATCACCGGGATAATATAATCAGGAGAGCAAAGTAGTTTATAGAAACGAATATATATCTCATGTTAGATATCTTCATTTCGGTGAAAATTCACTAAAACATATTATGGATCTGCAGCATGCTAAATGTAGTACTGATTTTGCCTCACTCAGTACTATACTAACGCACCATGAGTCGTACTGAAACACTGCCTACATCACTCGGCTGGAGTCCGAATGCTTCATATGGTCTAGTTGTGCATTTCGGCCGACATTGGTCGACTGGCGCTAGTGATTAATATATGGACGGATTCCGACAGGCTGACACCGTAAACAACATGTAATCCCTGTTCGTCTACGTAAGTGATCGCTTGTTCTGTTTTATATTTTCATCCTTCAAGCCCTGTGTGGTTACCCCACAGGTATCCCGATCCCTGCTTATGGGTCTTTTTCTATTCTCCGGATGGGAGTTGTTGAACTTAACCCACCCACGCCTGCTTCTCTTTCTTTCCCACTATTACTCGTCTCATAGATTCAATCCAATTCTTTTGTTCTGCGTACAGCCGTCATGTCAACTCTTCCCGTTCTTGTTAGTACGTACGGGGCCCGAGTGGCCCTGGTTGTGGCTTTGGTGATTGTCCTGCAATTCTTTCACGAGATGCTGAAAGTACGCCTTCTTTTCTATCGTCTGCGCAGACAGGGCTTAGTATGTTCTTCAATGAAGGGCAATCATGACTGATGCGTTGCTAATACTGAGTCACACAGCCGATGCCGAAATGGGATTTTGTAGCAGGAAATCTGCGGATGATCCCAGGCCTAATGAAGCGGCATCCGAAAGGATCGCAACAGTCAGAGGCCTTTACACTACTATCTTACGAATTTTCTAATTTCGACAATTGTTTCTACATTGATGTTTGGCCCTTCACGAAGCCTTTGCTGGTGGTTAATTCCCCGGATCTGGCCGTCCAGGCCTGTCAGACATATGCACTACCTAAACCACCTATACTGGCGAAGTTCTTCAACCCCTTCGTAGGGGGAACCAATATGTTTGTTACAAACGGGCCCGAATGGAAGCGTGCCCGGGGGTTCTTCAACCCTGCCTTCAGTGCTCGTAGTATCCTCCACCACACTCCGTATATTCTGGAGGAAGCCCAAGAGTATGTGGAGGTTCTCCGCGAGCATGCGCGGAAGGGGGATACCTTTTTATTAGATAGAGTAACCTGTGACTATGTCCTCGATATTATCGGGCATGTGGCCATGTGAGTGTCCTTTGTAAGCAAAGACGCGATTCGTGAAGATGAACACTAACACGCTGGACTGTAGGAAGGCACGCCTGCACTGTCAGCGCGGGTATAATCCGCTGGCTGCGGCATTGAGAAGTCAGGTGGAGTGGCATTGTCAGGATGAACAGATGAATCCCTTCATCCGATGAAATCCCATGCGGCCGATCATGCAGTGGTTGAACGGACGCACGATGAATCACTACATTGGGATCGAATTGGATAAACGTTGTGAGACCTGGAGGCAACAAAAGCCATCAATCCGCGGAAACTCGATTATCGATATTGTGCTCGCGGAGTACATGAGTACACTACAGGCAGGGGCAACACTGGACCCGGGGTTTAAATCCTGGGCTATTATCCAACTCCGAACCTTTCTATTCAATTGCTTACAGTATCTATCTATTATCGAAGTACCCTGATATTCTTTCTAAGGTTCGCACTGAGCATGACGCAGTGTTTGGGACAGATATTTCGTCTACAGCTGGCACGGTCAAACAGTATCCGGAGTTGATTAATCGACTCCCGTATACCCTAGCGATTATAAAAGAGACACTCCGTCTATTTCCTGCTGCTTCTGCGTTGCGAGAGGGCCAGCCTGGTGTCTACCTGCAGGACAAGAACGGCACGAAGTATCCAACAGAGGGATTGTGTATCTGGGTTATCCACGGGGGCATTCAACGTAACCCTAACTACTGGCCAGACCCACATGTATTCAAGCCAGAGCGCTGGCTGGTTGGGCCAGGCCATCCGTTATATCCCCCCAAAGGTGCTTGGCGTCCATTCGAGCAGGGTATCCGGGATTGTATCGGCCAGGCATTGGCCCTAGTGAACATTAAGATCACGCTGGTGTTAATTCTCCGAGAATTTAACTTCCAGGACCAATATGCGGAATGGGACTGCCAGCATCCCCGGTCTGGACCCAGGACTGTCTTTGGCGAACGCGCCTACCAGATTCCACAGGGTGGGTCGCATCCTGTTGACGGACTTCCGTGTCGGGTCAGCTTGCGGAATCAGATAACAAAATGAGAGCTGCGAATGAGAATTATTATGCTGTGGCAATCTTGAATTGGCATCGAACATGTTTATGAGGCGTCAAATTTGTATTGCAAGTGTTGGAGGAATGTACATAAGTAGGGAGAACCCTAGAAATAGAGTCAGAGACGTGTTTATGCCTTGGACTTCGAATCCCCCAGGGCTATCCTCGGCTACCTCTCTTTGTTTTCGTGTCTTCCTTGTTAGACCCACCCGCTCTAAGGTGAAAATCCCCGTTAACTAGAAACTGTTCAGTCCATTTTGTGCCAATCAACGTAATCTACTTTACCTCAACCCTGTCTGGTGGATTCCCCTAATGCACCATCCACTAGCACTGATTCGTGGTCAGTTGTTGAATCATATGGTACGGTGTCATTGCCCGTTTGAATTTCCGACTGCTAGCCCTGCACTCTACTAACATCTTTTGGCGAGACTGCACAATCATACTCCAGAATATGCTATTAAGCCGAAAATAACCGAGGCCCTGCAGGTCGCAACTGTTGGTCATAATTTGCCAACTCAGCCATTCTGCACCTGTCTGACCCTAGTAGGGCTGGGCGTGTCAGTAAAGGTGGTACTTTCCAGCCCATATAATTAACCCTGGTAGTGGAGAGCGGATTTTCCGCCGGTAGAGCCTAAAATTGATTCAATCCAACCACTGGAGTCTGGGCTACTCTTTCTTCCTTTGCTATTATCTTTCTCCTGATGTAGGTCAGCACAAAGCTTCATTGGGCGGCGATTGATCTCCTTTGGATAGCAAAAACAACATCCTACGGCGAGCACATGTCAACCTATGTGAGTACTGCAGATGGTAACCATGGTATCATAAGACGGGACTATGATCTTCTTGATGAGATTAATCTCACCCCAACCATCCTTTGCATGGACGGGCCCAAGAGGAGGCTCTCTATCCAACAGAAAGCGCACTATGTCAATATAGGCGTGACAACGTGCGACATTTAATATCAAAAAGCCTCGTTCATTTGGTGGCGCCAGGTATGTTCCGTCTAGTGATATAGTATTGGCGTTTTGCTAATGGTGGTCAACGAGCATGCGCAGGGCATTGAGGCTGCCATTCTTCGCAGCGATGTGAAATGGGTCTCAAGGCTCCCATGCTAGGGGCAATGGCTGCCCTAGGGTATCTCGCGAGGTATCGCGTTAATGTAGCCACATCGTCGCGCTTGATAATTGCGCATAGCAGTCCGTCGTAGTCCATCTCGTACAGGATGGAGCCGTCCGTGTCGAGAAGCGGGTTGATGTCTTCTGCCCATGGGTCGGAGGGGCATTCTGGAAGTCGCTGCATGCCATTGTGTATCAGGATCCTATCCTTTCCTACCTATGTATACTGTTAAAATACTGTCAGTTGGGGATTGAAATACAGGTTCGTCAACGACGAAAAGAGAAAAAGGCGACAGAAAAAGACGAATAGATCTTACCACCGCCCCACTGGCACTAGCATAGTCGGAATATTTCCGTTGGTTCTAAGACCCAGATATTGGTACATGGCAAATCCTACATAGAAAGTAGATTGAGGCACTCTTCTGCCTTTCTATACGTAGTAACAGCATTTTCATTGGAATAGTTTCGGCATACGTTAGTGTGACTACATTTTGCATTAAGCAAACACTAGACTGGAGCATAAATTGAGCATAGTATTATTGGGTGTCTCATTCTTTCAGAGATTTAACGTTGTATGCCCTACTAGAAACATCATCTTTAAAAGTATGTTCAATCCGTATTCTACTATTTTGCGACGACAGTAGACTCAGAGAAACCCTTGGGCCTATTGACATGAGCACGATCCAAGATATTAATCCCGCTGCTTTATGCTATGCACATACTTAGTAGTGTCGGCACGACCGTTTGCGAAAGTAGGTAGAGCATATTAGATTCAACCTCTCTTATAGACATTCACTATACTGTGGATTACTCTCGGTTTCTTCGTGATTTGCCTTTATACGTTGTACGCAAGTCCAAGAAAGCAATTCTGGCGTTATTATACAACCAGCTATAGGAAACGAAGGGTCCAACACCAATAGAAGTCGCTGCAATACAGAACAGGAACTGGCTTTAAGAAAAGCGACATATGTCAAACACCAAATATTGTACTAATTAGATACCATGCTGAAAAGCTGGACATGACATCAAACACATGCGTTAAGGAAAGACAGCCATCGCCGCTTCACCAGTACCAGTAGCCCATGCCACAACAAACCCAGTAAGAAGGCACCCTCTAGCATCTATCATGCAACAAGATCACACCTATTAGACCTTAACCTCCATAATACCATTATAGTAGCAGCGCTTTATAACCCCATCCATTGGGTTTTCCTTGCACTGCCACTTGGTGTCAGGAGCACTGTCGCTGAACGACGCCTGGCCAATCTCTTTGATCGGGCCAGAAACGCGTTCGAGCTCGATGGTCCATTGGCTGAATTGGTTGATTCCATCAGGAAACCGGATATAGTAGTTGCCGCCGAGGCAGCGGGCATTCTCGTCGGGCACTGCGTTCCAGGACCTACATATCGGAGGTTAGTAGAGGCGGGATATCACTAGTCCAATATATACTCACCAGATAACGTTGCAGTCAGTCGGGGTGTCATCAGGGTAGTTGGGGTCGGTGAGAGAGAAGTGCAAGTTAGCCATGCCGTCCTTCGAGGCGTTCGCTGTGAACTCGGAGATTTTCAAGGATTCGTTTCGGACGTTCGCGGGGCTAGCCAGGGCATTACTAGCGGCCAAAAGGAGAGAAATGGTAGTGAACTTCATTGTGAGTGAGTTGAAATTGTATCTGGGCTGCTTATAGCGAGGTATAACGAAAGTGGGTTTGAATTGCTTCGGATGTCTTGAAGTGTTTGAATTGCTGGATGAGATATCGTATCTCTGTTGGCAAGGACAGCCTTATATACCTCTGGTGACTTTCGCTCTTCATATTCCCCAAGTGCCTTTTGATATACCATAAATAGACAATTTGAACAAATTTCCGAGATGTCTCATTGAGGCCAGCCAAGTATAGTCTGTATCCAGAAACAGCCCATGCCAAGAGGAGGCTGAGTAGGGCTGGTTGTGTTTGGTAGGGTAACTTGCTGGTCAATCCGGGCCCGGGGCGGGCATGACTGCCGATCATGCTACTCTAGGGTCTTTCATCTATTATAAGTGCCGTCCTGTAAGGCCTCCCATTCCTCCGTGGCTCGGCTAGAACTACACCAATCAAGCTATTTGCCGTAGGTTGGCTGGCAGCTAGCCTATAATTGTCTAACGTACTGACCCCTATAGACATATATACCTGGCACATGTCACTACTGGCTTAGCCTCTCGTAGCATTGCTCTGCCTCGCAAAGATAGGCACAGAAACTCCCAAAAAGGGTGCATAACTGCATAGTATCCGAATGAGTCCTGACGGCCCAATTGTCAAGCGACAATGTCTCCGGATATTTCAAACTGGGTGTCGCTAGTCTAGGCGAAGATAGGATCGTCAAAAGCTCAGCTCATTCAGGGACGACTGCAGCGCGTCTACAGACAATCTAGACCTGTGGCTGGTGTAGTAAGGCCTTCGCCCATTACGGCCGTTGTAACCATGCAACCTCGTTTAACCCAGTTAAGAGAGTTAATAGGTCCTTTCTCCCGAAACAGTAAGCATGATCACTCAGAGGATGTTGGGTGCCTGTCAAGCTGTCTGTATGCCGCTCGGACAAAGCTGAATCATGCGAGTAAACCCAACATCCAGTCTTTGCTCCCATGCGTAGCTGTCATCGCTAGAATATTAGCAATTCTAGGTGATCGCCATCTCGCTTAACTCTTTACGAGCATCCAATATCTCAAATATAGATCAGTCGATATTATACATTTTCCGTAGGTGTGTGTTCAGCGGCATAGTATTAACATGGCACCTGCTAATCCAGCGAAATTCTCGCATTTCTGCACCCATAAGGAGCATGCAGTTAATGGCGCCCCTAAATCAATGCTACCGTGTAGTCCACGGCGCCAAAGTATATATCTGTTTTGGTACACCATTGGAGTCATGCTGAGAAACTAACTTGATCTGCAGAAGCCGACACAGATGGTTGAAAGAATACATAAATCTCAAATTCTCCTGGCTAAGCTACTTTGGCAAATTCGGGTGATAACCCTTCGAATCATCAATCCATATCTTTGAGTTCTAAACAGTTTGTCTGTAGGATTAAACCTAAGACAGAATGTATAAATCAAGTAGGAACATCTCCCTGGTCCACCATTTCAAGAACTGTGAAGCGAATACGACCTTCATTCGGAACACTGTATGGCAATGCTCCAATCGAATTCGAACCGTCCGCGCCATCATCTGGGTTTAGACCCCGTAACGACAATGCCACAATACCTTTCTGCTTGCCATCTGGTCCGTACACCAACAGACAGCACTTATCTCCATTACGCATGGGTCCCTCTCGGTCTTTGTCGCGGAATTCAAATAGTGTCGCCTCGTGCTTCGGTCCAGCAGCCAACAACGTTACCGTCTCTATACAATCGACGTTGATTGCGCGTAGCCACAGGCCCCTTTTGCGGTTAAAGAGATGGTATCGCTGTCCGTATTGGAGCTATTTGCCTATATTAGTATATGTGTATAGAAGGTTATGATCAAAAACGTACGGCTGGAGCTTGGTTCATGAGGGTTTCAACCTCAACGTCAAATACAGTTTCGTCACTGTTGTCTGTAAATGTCACTCCAGGGTGACCACAATCATAGAGTGCCTGGACCTCGGAAGGCAATGCCTGATCTAATCAAATTAATTGTTAAACTCTCCTTAGTCAGGGATGTACTTACTCGCCCAGTTGGATAACTCGGCTAGAGTGTAAGGCCTTCCTCTCTCCTTCATTTCCTTCAGTAGTCGTTTGGCGCACCACTGAGCAACATCCTGGCCTGCTGGGTTTAGTATAAACACATCCAGATATTGTAAAGGGGGGTCATACGAATCATCCACGCGTGATGGAGGGATAGATACTCTGGCTTGTTCTTGTCTGCGCGTTGCCATTCATCTAGCCCAAGCCGGAAGCTGATCGTCTCCTTCCTCCTAGTGATTTCAGCTAGTTTGTTGAACTTTTCAGGAATATCTTCGTAGCCGGGTATCCGGCCTATGAAGTCCCCAAGGGGGATGACGTCTTCTTGCTAGACGATATTAGCACCTCTGGTATTTAAGCTATCTTTGGGTCGATTTAAATACCTTGATGACACGCCAGTTTTGGAACGGAGCGACCGTAGGACACCATGCAGGAGGGCTATAATTTACAATTAGCACTTATTTTCTAGATTCAGGATAAAACGAAGAGAGACTTGCTTATTGCAAAGAAGCGTATCACCACCCTGGGCTTGCCAGGAGATCGAACCCTGCAAAGCCCGCTTGGAATTGCTATCTTGTGCCGACTGTGCATTCTCCTGGCTGTAGCTGGCACTACCAGACACATACGTGGATGAGAATGAGGCACTAGCTGAGATCTTCATTTGCTTGGTAGCTTCACTTTCGCTGCTTGTACCCAGCGTACTGAACTTTTCTGATGAAAAGAGTCTCCCACCGAGCTCGATGCGCGTGGCGAAAAAGTGGCCTGTCCGTGTCAGTGTCAATGTCGCGGGCTATTATTCAACATAGCTATGCGTCCATACATACCGTATTTGTGGTGAAAGGCAATCAGAGAGTTGACGTCCTTGACCCTGACAAGATCCTGGCTACATTCATCTGACAAGTCCAAACTGTACTCATCCAAATGCAATACCACTCGAGGGAACTAACAATGCCAGGTTAAATGAAGGTTAACAATGTACATGGTTATATGAAAACTTACATTGTAGGTGATGTTCATCGTGCTGCTTTCCGCCGTACTCTGCTTGCTCAACGCAGAGCTCTCACTCGAGGAGAAGCCAGCACTGATAGCGGCACTGAAACCAAACGCTCCTCCTTCACTATTTATTGTTAGCATATCCATCTAGGGCTATATACAAATCGTTCTGATTCAATTGTGGATTTCATGCATACAGAGAAGCTTCTGCCTCGATGGAAGAGAAGGAGCTGCGAGCCATGGCTGTTGCCACGGACGATTTAGTCTCAAACGTGTCCACGTACGAATCATCTGCCACAACAAACCGGGGGATATGGAATTGTTGCTACTAAATTAGCATCGCTCTTCTCACTATCGTCATCAATAAAACAAAAGGTAGAAATTACCTCAATCTTGACCTCTGAATCCGAAATTTCATGCGGCTGGAACTTTCTCGGCTTCAACACAAAGGCTACCCCTGTTAGACCATATCAAATTGTGATAGATATAGATTGTCTCTGACATACCACTGTATGGTGCACGTTCGATCCGACGGAATTTCAGCTTTTTACTTCCATCTGATGCTCGGCCCAGATTGGAAAACACCAATCGCGAAGCGCTTGTGAGGCTATTGTTGCGGATGACAACATTCCACTCTTTCTCCGACATATCGGAGGGGTTACTAGTAGAGTTAGCAAACCAGAGAAATATCAAGCAGTGATTATGAAGTCCTACGTAGCATTTTCGCTAGCCTCCGCCACCCAGTCGGCCTTGTTGAAAGAGCTGGTGAGCTGGTCTAGAGATGTTTTGAGCAATTCCGGTTTATCCTGGATGGTCAGCTCAACACACATGTACGCAGTGCTTCCGAAACTTACACTGAGTTTGAGATTGAGTTCTTTTTTGAGAGTCTCCTTGACCTCGTCACTCAGGCCAGTGGTGGTCTTTTTGCTCTTGAGGTAGATGTAGACATTGTAGGTGTTCTTCTTTTTCTGGTCGTCGCCCTCCTTCTCCTAGAGGTAGTCAGCGCTTCACGTTTCAAAGCATGGTGAGAATCAGCAACTAACCTCTGTTCCCTCCGATATAATATCCACATAATCCGAGAAGGATGAAGCATCATTGACTAGAGCTCCGGAAGGCGAGCAAAATGAACATCCGACCCTATGATACAATTAGCACAATGTAATAAACAGAGACAAGAAACATACTTGCTGGCATCCAAGCCACCGTTTTTAATAAGCACTGATCGCACGTCGGAAAGCTTCTTGTCACTTATGTCAAAATCCTTCAAAGGAACACAGTTCGTCCTCTTCACCGAGTCATCTTTGCCGTTGAAAAGGTTGACGTCGAGGCGGATCGTAGTCATGATGTCCAATTCACAAGTAGAACAGAATTGAGAGCTGTGTTGGGAACTAGGGGAGAGGAGCAATTACCACTGATGGGAACTGTCTAGGATTTAAATGTTTTGTTTCAGCTGCCAGCTGGCAAAAGGACACTGACACCCCAACGCAGTTCAGCTGGAAAAATAGCTCCTGTCCACAACCACAGCTGAACCCCGCTATATACAAGTCTTGTGTAGCTGATTGGCTCTGCCAAGATGCAGATCTGCCGCAAGTGCCGAATCTTGCAAAAGGAGTGAGTTGTCTGAACTCTATACGATCCACTCTGGGCTATGATAGGTCAAATACCTCATTCTTCACTTCTGGTGGCTTGTCGTGCGCTCGTATATTCCAAATAGTAGCATGATAAACCTCAATACAGGTGTGTATGAACGGATTGATCCGTATGGCGACACTTTATCCTCACCTTGATGGACCAAACGAGTCACAGCAGTCAAAGTCACCAACATGTTCCAAAATGTATATAATTGGAGCTTGACCTGGTCCTCTGTGACAGACGTATAACATAAGATTTAAAGATGCCTTATCTACCCTCATCGTTTCAAGTGGTATGCATGTTCTCTTTCCATTTTGCTTCCAGTCTCTTCCATTTAGTTGCGCGAGTTTCCCAGGAACCACTCTTTTTGTGATGTTTTATCATGACACAGACGGCTTCTCTTTACTCATTTAGGGTGCTCTCCCTATAGAAGGATTTACCAAATCAAACTCCAGAAATATGAGGTTATATATATATCGCTGTGCATGCTTGTATATCTGTTTGTGCAAAGAATATCATAGTACCTCGAGAGTTCGTTGATACAAACAGAGCTATATCAAAACAAGCAGTGTTTTGGATGAAGATGAGAATGCCGGTATGGATGGGGTAAGATACGGAGTATGATCCTCTCTTTTACATATTAAAATAGAAACCTCGAAAGATATTAAATTCGTCAGAAATATGTCAAAGAATTAAGAACCAAGATAGTGTTCCTGACATGTAGCGCTAGATTATTAAGTTGAACGGAATAGAACGAAATCCCGCACTTCAATACCTCATAGGCTGTGTTGCGTCCTCGATGTGGGTCTCTATCCATTTGAGCCTCTTCTATCTTGATACCTACAACGTCTACGCTCAATATCTAGACTCTATAAGTAGGACTCATTGTTGCATGTTGTCACCAAGCATCATCCGGATGTCGTGCCGCACATGCAATGGCTCCAGACAGGGGTATTTGAGCCGTAGGTTTCCTTTCTCAATATGAATGAGCGTATACCATCCCTCCTTTTGTATCTCATTTAATTAATTCAAGCACAATGACTCCTCCCAGCGACACCATTCATCCAGTCGAACTCTCCGACATGTCTGCACTGGGGGACCTTCTATACACCTCCAAGCTGGCTCTGATCGTCAACGGGCTTTTGTTCAAGAGCTGGCCCAATGAAGCTATCTAGCAGCGAAACTATCTCAATGCATTAGAAGGAAACGACGTAGATTCTTCCGAATCCCGGACTGTAGTTGACAATGTCTCGGGCGAAGTAATCGCCATCTCGCCCTTAACCGCCGCCGACCGGTAGAGGATAGAAAACAGTCCGAGGGGAGATCAAAAGGCAGGATCTCCCGGACTTCTTTACTCCTGAAGTCGTGGCAGCGGTGCTGGAAGCAGCCGCCAAGATTAACCAAGAAGTAAAGGCCATCGACCGCTATAGTAAGTCTGCTTTCTCTATCAGAGATTACGTACATAGTTGTCAAGTCCGAATATCGTTATTGCGGTATCGGAAAGGACCATGTCTTCGACAAGGTTCGGTCAGCGGACGTACCTGTTGCCGTGAGCGCCGAGCCGCAGATCTACGGGTTTTTCAACAAATATGGCTTCAAGTTCATGATACGAAGCATGCGGATTTCGATCTTGCTCAGTGGGCCCACCACACTCGGGTTTTGGTAATTTCAGGTTGGCTGGGTTAATACGGCACCCCTTGAGTAGAATGGGATTCTACAAACAATGATCATGAAAGATGGTCTTTGAATTTCTCCGGTGGCTCTCGATATTTTTTGTTGAAACTTGGCTTCTCTTTCAAGCCTTAACGCCAAGATACACTAAGCCTTACCAGGCTACCCGCGATCTCAGCGGAACAACAATCTTGCGTTACTGATGCGCACTGCACGGAATTGTTTCGTGGCAGGGATTGTGTCTCGTAATTGTATCCTTACGCCTTCTGTTAGGCAGGTTAGGTGCCTTTCAAGTATAAAACGAGTCTAACTGAAGGATAGAAGCCTTGTTGCATACGGTGTACTTTCTGTTGTTCCTCTTTTGGGACCCATCTCGCCCAGGGGGGGTGGCGAGGGCTTACGTACGGGAATGGGGACTTGTGGCTGTGTTGATATTACTGCGGAGTGTCGATCGGAACAGAGTTCCAGGATGCGTTGTTTACCCCTCAGCCCTCAGCGCTCAACCCCTCCGACCCCTCCATGAAAACACCCCCGAGAGGCTCAACCCCTTATACTGCAAGCCCCTGAAAATGACTAAATGGCGTGAGAATGGCTCCATCTTTTGCCTTGTGGACGCTCAGCTGAGAAGCGGAGACGACTCTCGATCCAATAACAGAGGATGCCCATGGGCAGGTGGATATCGACGTGGCCCGTCTGTGGATACAATCGTATCTCACCGCAACGATCGATTTTTGAGCTGAACGCCGATCCATTCGGTTAGAGTGTTTTGGGATCTATCTAAATAGCCCCCGTCTGCCTCTCCCCCTCCTCTTCTTTTTCTCTCCTCATCCATCACAACTTTTTCTGATCTTTCCTCAACAGACCACTCTCCTCCAAACAAAATGTCTTGGTTCGGTACGTTGTTCTTGCTCCCAGTCCTCTCTTGACCTCGATGATGTACTGACTGTAGTTGTCTACTAGACGAAGAGCACGAGAACGCCCGCGCCCACCGCGAGGTCAACCAGACCGAAGGCCACCAGGGACACTGGTCTCACGACTTCATCGGTGGTGCCGCCGCCTATGAGGCCATGAAGGCCTACAACGACCACGAGGCGAAGAACGGTATAATCAATCCTTGTCTTTGAGTCGATTGTTCACATCGCTGATTCTCCTGTCCCCATGTATAGGCAAGCCCCAGAGCCATGCCCAGGCTAAGCAGATCGCCGCTGGTCTCGCCACCGCTGCTGTCACTCAGCTCTTCGAGACCAAGGGCCTCGACTTCATTGACCGCCAGAAGGCTGAGTACCACGCCAAGAAGCAGGCTGAGGAGGCCATTGAGCGTCACTACTAAGGGTTGACTTTTCCCGTTGACTCTTAACCGTCCATGATGTATATACCATGAATGCCAATTAACGTTTTAACGCGAAGTGTTGCTTTCTTCTATCTCTCCCTCACCCTAATCGTAAATAAAGAATACTTGCATCACACCATCCTCCACGCCTTGTTCACAGCATTGTCTGTTCTCAAATAATCCTCGAGGATGAGTTTCATGATCGGACGAAAATTGGAAAGGGCATGTACAACACAACGGCAGTAGCTACGTGTATCAGTGGGATGCTCAGATGTAAGCCAATCCGGTCAAGTATACACCGTCTCTAGTTTAGGCTGTTGAAGCACTTTCAAATGTTACCAGGGAAGGCCCGGGCTGTTTTGGGTTTTCCGAATTGGGATATGGAGAGGGGTAGCATTGGTGCCACGTGGTTCTCCTTCGGGTCCTCGATTCAGTCTCAAGAGTCGCCCCTGGATGCGACAAGAAATACGAGAAGTGACGTTGAGAACGTCAATAGAAGATACCAGCTAACCAACGATGCCCTCCTGTCGTTCTAGCCGTCGTACAACTCTTGATCAACTCACAATACCACGATCAGAGAGTAACTTCGGGACATGGGGGCCTTATCTCCCCTACGTGATGCCGTTAAAGTCAACAATGCACAATTATTATCAGGGGCCGCTCGGACCCGAAGCGGACCCGACACTACACTGGTCCAATGTTGGATGGAAATAATAGTAGTACCTAGTAAGGACCTTGATGGAACTTGGAACGCTGAGTGGAATCAGCATAGTTGATTGGACCGTTCGGCAGTACTTCTGCTAGTAGTGTTAGGCAATATATTGACCGCCTCACATACCGCCTATTTGTTCCCTTTCCCAACCAGACTCATCATTCCCCCCGCCTAATCCATTAGTTGGTTAGGCAAATGAGAATCATCAGTATCTTATCTCTTCTATTTGTTATTTAAATCATTAACATTCCCTGTATTCTATTGAGTCATATCTGAATCGAAGTCAGGCTTAAAAATCGCTTCTCAACCTATCAGTATCAGTTTTCTACGCATACCGATGAGTACAGTTGCGGAGTGGTCACCATAGTCCTCCGACGAGTGTGGCTGTGCTTGTCTTCTAGTGGCTGAATGTAAAGGTTCAAGCATCTCGCGCAATTTTCTGAGACAATACTTTTTTAATGTGCTCCGAATGAGGCATTATATGACGCCATTTTACGGCGTTTATCGGGATTCTATTTTGGAATTAAATCTTGCGAGTGGAAATAACTGATGCCGTGCTTGTGCTCGAAGTGTTTCTCGAAGTTGTAGCACATCCGAACTGCTCCGACTATCAGGCCGTTCAAGATGCGACAGTGCTTTGTTAGCTGTGTCGACTGTATTTGATGCAGGTACAGTCAAAGTGTTATATTATAAAGATGCAATTGCTGTGGACTTTGATGTATCCACTTTTTTGTCAAGACCGTTGAGGCCGCGCAGACCCCGGAACTCTTTCTGAAGCAAGAAGTCATGATATCTGCCTTTGATCTCGTGGGGGGGCTAATAACACCATTGGTATATGCTCTTTCCAAAAAGTCACTGGAGACCGTAAAACCCAAAAAATACGGATTAGATCTCCAAAACAATCACTGGACGAATGCACACTGTGATATCCAATCGTTGCAGCCTAGGGGACTGGGCTACCCTATGAAAATGCAAATTTCGTGGCCTATAAAATGCCTCTCCAGATACTGACATTCATGGTTCGGGGCCATTCCACTCCCACGTACGAGTATGGACGTACCTCAGCATGTAAGGTCCAGAATCGCAGTGGCTAGGCTTGAGAGGCCCTTATAAAACTGAACATCTACAACATCTTACGTCATTTTTTATAGTTCAAGCATCTTGGTCATGCCTCCATCGTCTGTACATGTACGCATTGGCATCAATATGTTAGCTTGGATGCTAACATGTCAAAGTGAGTGTCATATACATGCCCCAGATACCCATCTGATAGATTGAGACCCAGTCCATTTCGTGATCTCATACAACCTAGCCATACTCAACTATAGACCGCCTATCGGGTTTCCGTGGTCTGTGGCAGTTCGTGAACCTCGTAAACTGCCTGGATGGGCGGACTCGACGGCAGCTCACTCATCTCACCTTGGAGCGAAGAGGCCGGCCTTTTGGGAAATCCGGGGACCGGTTGTGAATCTGAACCTGGGCCAGGCTGTCTCTTCTGCCGTCGGTGCTGAAGCAAGTACCAAATCAACGCTGCGATTAGAACCACACCAGCCATACAACCAACAACAAGACCCGCGATTGCCCCAGGAGGAGCACCATCAGAGCTGGATACAGTATCAGATGAAGACGTTTCGGACGTATGGGGCGCGGATGCAGATGCGGATCTGGAGGCCGACGTCGAAGTTGCTCTGTGGGGGTACGTGAAAGTCGTGGACGAGATAGCTATACCGAACCTTTATCAGAGCTTTCAACCAAGACATGATATTCCTCAGAACTTACTTTGCGGTTTTGGGTTCAGGATCGTTCGTGACATTCCCTCAGGTTGCTTGGCGCAGCCGACACTGTCGCTGTACTTCTGTTCTGAGGTCCAAAACCCCTGGTGGTCTTCCTTGCAGCAGAAGAGGCCAGAATGTTCGTACATGGCCCAGCTTGCGTTGGCGCAATGAGGTATCTTAAAAACGGGTTCCCGACAATCCACCTCAGTCGGGCAACAGATAGGATTTTTGTTGTTATCTGATACCTTGCAGGTGCTGTCTGATGGACAGTAGGCAACGAACCCATCCCAGGTGGCCCGACATTGTTTGGTGCTCTCAGGGCAGCTGTCGTTCACACGAAGGGAGTATTCAAACGGAGGATCGTAAGACACCATGCTTACAGAAGTGGACAGAGGGCGGAAGCGATAATAAGAGAAACATGTACTATCCGGCACAATAATATCAGCGGTGGAGACTTTGCTGTTTGATAAATTTCAGCAGAGAAAGGTTTCGCTCTGATGCGCATATGCTATTCACAAACGAAGTTGAAGAAAGTTGAGATTGATCAGCAAAATCACACCTTGACAGCTAAATGCGGCTCTCAGGCAAGAGGAATCTCGCGGGAGAACATCCACCTCCACAAAAGGACACAAACACCTCTTAGGTCGTGGCACTGCTCCAAGTATGTGTTTGTGCCAGCGAAACAACCAGTCAGTCTACGAAGAAATCTACTCTATGATGATTGGGTGAGGCTGTAAGCGGGTTTGACAAAGGCCGGCCCTGACCTACTACACTTTCCAATCATAGATCCACCTTTTCTGCGGAGGCAACCTCATACGCTGGGAATCTGCATAACTGTGTGTAGGGATACCCTCGTTGTGGTCCTGAACGTTTGCAATCAGATTGGCAGAATACCAGTGAAGTTGCCCGGTTGGCCATCCTAACCAGCAATGCCACATATTGAAACACAACCTACCCAACAACAGAAATGGAATTGACAACCGACTGCTATTTTTGGATCCCCAATCGATGACTTTGATTGCAGCTAGCAAGGACGAATGATACTACGAGTCATATATTACTGATTGGAACGCCCATCCAACTCCTGGATTTTTCTTAAGGGCCTCTTCAGCGAACAACACGTAAGTATGACCAACGAAAGATCGAAACTTAGATCACGTATGCCCATATGACCATTTTCTGGTTTCTAGTTTCTGGTTTTAAAGGCCCGAAACGTTGATCATAAACTCGCTAGGTTCGTCTTCAATTCCCACGAACATAGTTCCTACATCATTCAGGTGCAGATAGTAAGGATTTGACGCCGTTGTCATTATCGGTCCTGAAACACATGACAGGTGAGGCTGTCAGACCGATATGCATTCTCCCTAGAGTCAAACGTCCATGCTTTGCAAAGGAACTTTTTATGCCGTCAGCGCGATGCACTCAGTGTACCTGTGTGTCAATCACCATTTCAAGTTCGCATCCAATCAAAATAAAAACAACACCAATGTTCAACAGTTCATGATATGAAATCTAGAATTACAATCAAGTTTTCTCGATAGGATACCCACTACGGAGGCCAACTCTTCTTTTAATATTCGAGAAAGTGTCGAAACCCTGTTGCCACTGCTGTTGTAGACTACTATACAAAATCACTATTAGCGATCGCATCTACAACTGACGAGATTGCAGTTTGTTGTGCTCTGCTCCAGCCTTTGACAGTCAACAATGATGTCCAATTCATCCATGTTCTGGCCAGAACTGCGATCTTTCAAATACAGATATGCTCATGTCCACCTTACCCTGTGTGCTCGCCCAGGGAGCTTTCTATCCAGAGATTGGTCGATGGCCGAAAGAGCCGGAAGTACTTACCTGGTGCATGACTTGATAAATGTCTCATCAATCGAGAGCCTGTCTCTCCCTCAGTGGATACGACAAACGTCGGACTAGGATTATCAGTCACATTTCTCCAATCTTATGGAAATAACCTTCGCCCTTCTCTCTCGGCGCAATAGCTATTCTCGGGCAATGGGACCCGACAGCCTTCACCCTATATTTAATGACGACTCTACCGACGGATGTTGAACCGACAATGCTCCGGCTCTGGATGAAGATCCTGATCCAAATAACACCGTAACAGCCGTGTTCATCGTCCGGGCTCCTTGCAAGTGCAACTGGACGCCGGCGAGGACAAATTTGGGGCTAAATGGAACGAAGACATATATATACTGAGGGGAGATTTCTGCGATCGAGGATGCACGTAAGGTGTATATCGACAACCAACTATGGCCAAAGTGCAAGATATAGATAGCATGTGGCCCATGCTGCGTAGATCGACCGCAGTGCTCAGTGATGCCACTGAGCGGGCGACTATGATGTCGATCGCTTAAATGTCGATCTCATTGCTTATCACGGGTGATTTCCCCCCAGTTTCAATCTAAGATGAACATCGTGGAGCAGAGTTTCATAACTCGCTTGGCACACGGGATATAATTGTAGAATACATATTAAGCCCACTCGATCAGAACAATATATGGCGCTAGGGCTGTCTATCCTTGACATATATTGACTGAGCTCTGCCGTATAAAAGCAATGCACAGCGAAGAGTTCCACAAACAGTTATCTCACACTTTCCATTGAACCCACGAGTAATGCCCGAACAACGACCTATGCACGGGAAGTTCCCTTGGACACGCAGAACTAGCCTTAGTACATGCCAATCACCTACCAAACTCTAGTAATACGGACAGTACGATATCTCAGAATATGCGATTAAACCCAAGTAGAGCAGCTGGAACTCATGACTAGCAAAGCCGGGTCCAAAGCTACGATAAGAACACACACACACACAGAGAGAGAGAGAGAGAGCTGTGGCAGTCTCCAAAGCCTGAGTCATTGAACGCTCACTTTTCCCAAGAGCCAGATACCCGGTCATATATGAGCACATCGTATCCCAACAACCCTCGTACATTGCATGAGATATCTGATAATGCTACTACCGGTCCCCAGCAATGTTCTAACTACGTATATATCCATTACCATCTAGCCCATCGGTCATAACATTTCTACACAGTCCTGTACGATCCCTAAAAAAAGACAAAGATCAGAGCCCAGTCACCAGCCCCATGCAAGCAATATGCAACTCTCTCCCTTACGACATCTGCACCAGTCTCCCAATAAGAACATGACACCCACCACATAGAACGCAAGGACACTATTCTATTCTAAGAATATACCAGCCGACAGCAAAGCAGATGAAAGCAAAGCACAAACCAGAAAGAGAACATAATCCCATACATATATACATCACCATATCAGCCCCTCCAAGCCAGAACGTGCCCCTCCCTCACAAACACACACATCACAGACCAAGAAAAGCCCTACCCCCTTACATAACCGCCCCTTTCCAGAAACCCCAAGCCCCTCCCCCTTTCTTCTTCCCCTTTAGTTAGAATTCCTGAATCTCGATGTTCTAACTTTATCTTTCGAATTGCCGAAGCACGAGCTGGGTGTTTGGTTCTTAATTTTAATTTACCTCGATCAGTTCGGCAGTCGGGGCCCGGTTTTCTGCGGATGCGTACCGAGTACCGAACTTGGGTTCTGTTCGGGGGTCCACTTTTTTTGGTTTTTTTTCTTGTCCCCTGAAGAATCAATGATCGCTTGTACCTGAGGAACCGGAATTGTGGTTCCAGTGGTGTGAAACGAGGAGGGTTTTTTGTCCCTAGCGTTCTGGGATGGGTTTCCTTTTCTTTTTGGTTCTGGGTGGGGGGGGTGGTTATGTCTATACTTAGCATCTTTCTTTGTGTACTGTAGGTGCTTTAGAGTAGAGGTTGATATGAGGGTGGATAAGTACTAAGTAGTATGGTTATTTCTCTAGTGTAAAGAATACATTCTATGTTCTTGATGGTCCCGTTCGCTAAGGAACCCCTCTATGCTGTCCGCACCAAACAATACAATAGTACACACTAGGCAGAAAGCAATAGGAAAACCCATTTGTCTGGAACCTACTCCGTTGTTCCGGGGAAACCTTTTGCAAGGAGAAGAGACATGAAACACTTGGCGGTGTTGCTATATGGAGAAACAAGATAGGGTAACGAAGGGTGGTGAAAAGAAAATTCTGACCTGGCGGAACCGCTCCAGCCACAGCCAGCTGCTCCACACACAAAACCACACAGCCAAAAGATGAACCACCTCAAGGTTGCGACTGGGAAGCCTCCACCATAGCAGTCCAGCTATTCGGTCCAAAGCGCTCGTAGAACTCACCGAAAAACTCGGTCACAAAAAGGTACGCCGCGCGGTGACGTAGTTCGTGCACCAATGGGCGCAGGTCGTCCACTGGTACCGAGTGTATCATAAATCCACATCGCGCGCGATCGTAATGGAGTAGGCGAAGGCGATGCTGGACTTCATTCGACCGATAGCGAGAATAAGGTTCCTCACAAGTCAGGATCAGATCGGGCCCTATATTAGCCAGGGGCGCATCGGGCGGTGTTCCTGGGTTCTGGATGACCTGCAAATCCTCAAGATGATCAATATCGGGTTCGCCAACGTCGCCTTTCTGGGACTTGTGCGATACGGCGCTGATTGGGTGTGGCCGGGTGTTTTCTTTGCTTTTACTGATCGGCAGGGGTGGGGCAAGGGGATCTCACCAATCGATGGCCTAAAAGCCCCGGCGTGCGTTTGATACGGTCCTGGAGGACGGCCAGGTACTCGACCGCTTCAGGCGAGGAGAGGTTCGGGGTCTCGTCGAGAAAGATGCCTCCCACGCCCAGACCAGTTCTCACGTAATCCTCAGCCCAGGTGGCATACGTCTGGACCTCTTCCAAGGCTTCGGAGAGGGGCTTCTTGCAGTAGTTTATGGCGATGTAACCTACGGTGACCACGTTCGCATAACCATTCAGTCGGGCGATTTCACGCACGTAGTTGGCATCAGGCAATGGGGGGGCTCCCGGTCCACTGTTGGGATTGACAATCACCAGAAAATGCACGTCGGGATTAGCGGTGATGCTACCGGCACTGAGTTAGACTAGTTTTGTTTTTGTTTTTGTTTCTTTTTTTCTTTTTTTTCTTTTTTTCGCTCGGTGATTTTTATGTATATTTTTGTTTTTTCTTTTTTTGACACGCCAACGGAAAAGCGTTCGTGCGCGGTGGAGGTCGAACGACGGGAGTAAAAGGCACAGAAAAAAAGGAAAAGGGCAATCCTTACGAGTCATAGAGTGGATCCCAGGTTGTTGGCGACAGTGGATAAATGTACAGAGGAACGATTATGCCTGAGGAAGGTGGCGTCTGCACAGTCGTTGGCGAGGTTTCGCTTTGCTTTTTCTTGAGCTGTCGGTCGCTCAGTCGCATTTTGATCCTTTTTATAGGATCCCACGCCTGCAGCGCCTGCATTTCGTCGCCGTGTCGCGCTCAATTGGGGGATGGAAGAACTCAATCGTGCTGACCGGGTCGCTCTGGCGTCAGAAAGCCACGGAATCCAAATCAAGGCGGGATCCCAGTAGTACTTGTAGAAAAGTGGTAGTTAAAGTTGACGCCAGCCAACTCAGCCATGGCGCGGGTGGAGTTTGGAGCAGCATTAGTTCACGGGTCCAGGAATTAGAACCTCTTGGTACCTTTGCGCTCGACGAATCGCTACGATCGACAGATCTCTGCAACATGTGTCGACTGGAAAATTTATACACCGTATAATATATGCAGGGCTACGGAACATATCGAAGGATGCGCTGATTATCCAGACTTCATCCGACAGCTCCGCGACCATCGCGATGACAGATCACCCCGTGTCGGTACAACATCGCAGAGTTTTCATTAAGCTTCAAAGATTGGCATTAGAAAACCTCCGACAGGCTTGCGATCATCAGGCAATCTGCACGACTGACAGTGTCACTTCTGCGGCTTATCCTTTCTCCCTGTGTCAACAACAGACGGTATCCTCAGTGTCTACTTCTGCCAGGTGCAAGTGCCGTCAACTTCGCCTCCCGAGTCAGAGCGCATGACTGGATTTTTCTTTCTTTCTTTCTTTTTTTTTTCTTTTTTTTTTTTTTTTTTCTTTTTTTTTTTTTTTTTTGTCTTTCTGGGTAAATCGATGTTCTTTTTCTTGTCCCAAGCCCGGAGTTGGTAGCAGCAAACTTAACGCAATAATACGCGCGACTCGATCTGGTTACACTGCGGTATGGAAACAACCGATCTGACTTGCTCCCGTCAGCCTTGTTCCCACTTTTTCAAACGCCACACGCCATTCCAATCCACCCCTCCCGAGCCATCCATCAATTAGAACCCGCTCGTGAGGGGCACACTGAGCAGCTACCTAATGATGATGCTACCATGCTAGAGTTCCGAGGAGAAAAAAAGCAACACGAGACAATGTCAATAATTCCAGAGCTACAAATTATACCTTCCTAATTCATTC